GCATCCGCACATCTTGTCGTACTCACCGCTGATTCTGCACTGCTTTCATCTGAATTTGAGGCTCGTCGGATTATTTGTGACGAAAAAATAAATCAATCTAGTAGAATTTTAAAAATTGAAATTCATCTAGTCTAACTTAATAACTAAGAGAACCGATCTAATCTTTGATTGATCGGGTGCCGCGCCCCTGGGGAGAGGAGATTAATCTCTCCGGGGGCGGCACGCTGCGGAAGTGGTTGAGAAACTTAGGATCGGCGTCGTGAGACTAACCGCTCTAATACCATGTAGAAAATATTGGATGACTAATGTTTATGTGTTGTATTGATCTTACCCTTGTGTAGGGTATATATAGGAATACAAGAGGGGTAGAGACTTGGAGTACAAGACAAGGTTGTGTAAACCTATTTTATCTCTAAATACATATTTATCTCTAACTCTCAAATATTATTATACTTCTAACAACTGATCACGGGGATCAGTCGATGAAAATATCATCTTTCTTCAACACACACACACACTCAAGGATATCCCTTAGCGATGAACTAAGTCGGACAAGCTTTCATCTTCCAACTCTCCAAGTTGTTGTTTGGCTTAACCAACTAGCTCAGGGGTATCCAACACAGATTCTTGGAGAATGGGTGGTTTGGAGGGGAACCAACATGATCACAAACTCAACATAGCGGTCAGGTGACAACCTGGTAATACTTCTGAGAAGATAACTGGAACGTAATGAACCACCGATATGTTACTAAGCTCGAGAACAATCTTTCTTTTCAGGGCAAGACGATATGATCAAATAAGCAAGGATTGACACTATCCTAACTCATTGATCAAAAAGTGCACCGGAAATAAGGACTAGGTAGCACGATAAACCTTAGGGTGATGATTCAATAATCAACACACTAAGGATAAGATTATTGTCCATTATCTACCAAGCAACAGGGTTGCTAGGAGTATTGATTTCACACATCACAGCTTACTTGTTGGCATTCTAGTTGCAACAACACGGAACCAATGAATGAACAATGATGGCAAGAAGTATCACTAAATCAAGAATTCATAAGAAATGGTGCAATTCTCATGACAATCCTGACATAAAGGGGTAATACTCCGAGGTAGAACAGAACAAAAAGCTGGATTGGCATTTGATCTGCGGAATACAACTACTTTGACCAGTCCAAGAAATGGATGAGGTACTGGAGTTTGTTTTTCCTAGTCATTCTGAACTAGAATGGCTTGACAGCCACAAGAATAATAGGCATCGATGAACACGAATGCACAACTATTCCTGACTATCAATTGATAGACGAGGGCCAGAAAACAGCTAAAGAGAGACAACTCAAAGGAACATATGGTTTTCAGGGTTGCGGATGCATAGATTTAGTATGCCAAACAAGTTCAATATATTTCTTCCAGATAATCCATGCAGAAAGGTAGGACTGGCAGAATCACAATTATGAATGGAGAACTCCTGAAGAGTACTCTGATTGTGATATTTTGGTTCAAAGAACTCCTACCTTAATGGTTCAGGGTATTTGGAAGGAAGAAATACCATGGACCTCGAGGACTGTCGCATGGTTACTAATATCCTAAAGGAACGAGCAAACACTATCCACAGGAGGTAAGTAGGGTGAATCTCGGGTTCAAGAACCTAGGAATAGAATACCTACTACTAAATGGCACCACGGGATGCTTTTGAGAATAATGGCCAGAACCATCACACTGGGGATGCAAAGCATTGCTAGATTACTAAGTGGTCCTCTAAGACACCTAGGGTCATAACACTAACTCCAACATACATGTCAAGGCAACGGAGTACCTCAACAGACCGATTAGTGTGGTTGAACTGGCCCAAAGGGACATCGAGAACAGAAGCAAGGGATTTGCAAATGCATCTGACTATTTAGAAACCTGGGATGACTCAGACAGCATAACGGCTGTAAATGCTCAAAAATATTTGAGACATCCTGCAAAATGGTGGCATAACCACTCAACAACATCATAATATCAAGGTTCCAAGACCAACTATGAACACAGGGAAGTACTGGAAGCTGAACTAAGACATGAATCGCTACTGGAATCTGGCACTTTGCCATCTGCCATGGCAGATGGCAAAGGCATGGTCGGAGGATGGCAAAGGCTTTGCCATCTGCCAGCAGATGGCAAACAGTTTGTCTGAAACCCTGCCGGCAAAGGCTTCTTTGCCGTCTGCTGGCTGATGGCAAAGAGCCTGTGGCTTTGCCATCAGCTGGCAGATGGCAAAGCCTCTTAACGGGGTTAGCCCCGTTAGAAGGCTAACGGCATACTTTGCCGTCAGCCAGCATATGGCATAGGCTGCAGGCTCTTTGCCGTCTGCCAGCAGATGGCAAAGTATGCAGGCTCTTTGCCGTGTGCCAGCAGATGGCAAAGGTTGCATGCTTTGCCATCTGCCAGCACATGGCAAAGAGCTCTGCCATCTGCTGACAGATGGCAAAGAGCCCAAATAGGCCAGCCCAAATTTTACATGTAGATGACACGTGGCCTCTTTGCCATCTGCCAGCTGATGGCAAAGCTCTTTGCCATCTGCCAGGAGATGGCAAAGTGACTATATTGCCCCATTTAATTTTGTTTTTTCTTATATCAATTCATTTTCGCAGAAAATCAAACACAAATATATTTATATGACCAATATAGCATATCCAACACATATTACCAATAGTCATGAACACATATATCCAATACATGTTACCAATAGTAGCAAGTTTCATCCGTACATATACATAGTTTCATCAATATTACACAGTTTCATCCATAGGTAGCAAGTTTCACAAGGTCAAAACAAAAACTAAATACAAGCACTCCATCAACCCAAGCTTCCGTGATCTTAAGCAAATCTGTAAAATGGGAAAGAAGAAAGTTAGAAGAAGAAGACTAGAAGAATATTATTATGATGCAACTAAAATGTGAAGATTATTATGATGTCCAAGTTCAATTTGTTTTCTATCATGTCCTATCATTGTGTTGTTCACTCCAAGGATTAATTCCCGAATATACTCACCTGCAATCTTGGATGCCATATATCATATATCCTGTTACAGTTTTTTACATCTTTGGACAGCAGAATAAATTGGTCCCATTATTAATGAACTGGTGAACACTTGAGCAAAGGAGCATGTCATCTATTAGTTTCTCACTGATCAAACTACCACTGTATAGGTCATTATGTTCACATAAAAAAGGAATTGGAAGTTGAGCATGCTCTCATGTGCTCTTTGTTTCTGAATCTCCTAGACTGAGCAGAGGCAGGCACGTGGAGATGATCATGAACCAACACGTTATGGATTCTGATGTCAATGGTGGGGAGTATTTTAGAAAACGTTTCGTGCAAAAGGTGTGCTCAAGTTTAGATGCAGAGAGGTCTGCACCACTGTATTCATAACCATCCGTACATTATGGTGGAGTTGAGGAAAGGAGCATTACCAGGGATGTGATTTTAGCAGCATCTATAGATAAATGGCTGCTACAAAGGGCAGAAGATGCATGTAGTCACCAGCATCAACTTTTGGAGTGTGCGCTACTGGGATCAGTCTCTCCAGCTTCAGGTAAGCTATTCACTCAGCCACTTAGCTATTTATGTCAGATCTAGAAGTATTTTCTATAGCACACCATGTGTTAGTTTGATCTGATAAGGTTGAAATACTATGAAGCTCATGGCAATCAATGGATTGATTTTGGGGAGTATAGTTTCTGTAATTACTGTGACAGTATGAAACATATATTGCTATATAATCAAGATTTAATGTACACTATTCAGTATACCTGATATGACTATGTTAGAGAGAACATAATATACTGTATTTTATTTGTAATTTTGTATACATCTATCTATCTATCTATCTATCTATATGTATCTATCTATAGCTATACTAATTATATATAGACTCCCAACAAATTACACATTAATCAGAAAATAAGAGCCGTTCTATCTAATCCATGTAATCCTTGGCTGAAATCTTGACCAAGAAAAAATCAGCCAGAAAAAACTTCTTGAACGGCCCACAAATAACAAACTATCTGTTTTTAGAAGACTCGCAGTTTTCACGGCTGTAGAAGAAATAGAAGCCGAGTGAGATACTCCCTATCAACAACTGTGAAGATAAGTTAGAAAAAACATGAAAGGATATACAAAAGCGCTTAAAAGGAGAAGAAGCCGAAAGAGATAAGGGTCACAGTCCTTTCACGTACAAGCCAAGGACACCCCAAAAGTATCTACCTTCTCCATGTCTCTTTCTCTCTCCTTTAAGAAAACAACCTGAAGCAACAACGGGCCATGTAATCTCCATGGTCTCCTTAGCCCCAGGAACAATTCATGTTGCTCTCAAATTGTGCAAGCAAGTTCAGGCGTCGATCCGATGTGCTCAAGGAGTGTATTGCATCACAATTGTTTTGTTAAGGTTTGTTTTCTCATCTAGATGAGGTTCGTTTTCTCATAATCTTTTGTTCTGAATTTCTTTCTTCCCTTGAATCTACCATGACTTTGGATCGGGTTCAATTTGTTTTTCTATACTATCATGTGATAGTGTTCTGCTTTCCAACGATTAAATCCCGAATATTTTCACCTACAACATATGGATATCTAATCGAGATCATCAGGTCAGATCTGGTGAGCTTATAAATTAAACCTGGTGTCTAGACAAGCAACATCACAAGAAGGAGCATCCTTTCAGTTGTCAACATCGAGTTGGTCAAGCTACTCCAAATTCAATTTTTGCACCGACAAAATATGTCCAGTAACTTTCTGTGAATCACATGTGACAACAACTATTTTTTCTAACAACTACAGGTTAAATAGAGCATGACCAGCTGCATCGACTGCTCTTAACTGATTCCTACCTGCAGCTCTATAAATAAGCAAGTGTTCATCTGATACCTATTGACTGCAGATTGGGGATAATTAGCAACATAATATTGATACATAGAAATACTGAATGAGAGTATGACCAGCTGCATCGACTGCTCTTCTAATAATTCCGCATCAGCTGCCACTCATCTTGACGTCCACGCCAAGCCTCATATAGATGGTAGGATATCTTCTGTACATAGTAGTTCTTTTGTAACCTGATTGTAATATCATTAATGATGTATCTGTGTAGTCCATATATATGTGAATATGAGACGGGCGAGGTGTGCAATTAGCAGCCCATTCTTTCTGAGCTATACAAGTTTTTCTTGGTTATCCTATTTCGGTGGTTTCATATTTAGAGAAGCTTATGAAATTACACATCATATGCCTATTTAATAAGGATGTGTTTCACTGGTACCTGTTTTGGCTGATTGAGGTTAATAAGCAACAATATATTGTAAATAAAAATATTGAGCTTTTCCCAATTTGTGGCGCCTAAGTTTTATTTTGGCAGTTTCATATTACAAAACGTTATGAAACTAAATAGCATAGTATTCCTGCAAAAAAAAGAAACCGTGCTTTTGATAAATAATAAGATGTCTGCAAATGGTTTCGCATCTTGCAGTGATGCTATGAGAACTTTGAAATATATGATAAATTTTTACTAACAATATCAATGATAAATATATGGTCGTTTTTGTAAGTTGCATTGCTTAAAGATTTTTCGAAAGCAATACCTGAATCTGGCTTTTGTATAGTTCTTTTTGTTTTACCTTTTTTATGGATTAACTTAGCACATATACTGTAATTATTTTCGTTCTGAAGGGGACTATAGGAGGAAAGGTAATACGAGATGATCATCGCACTTCTCCAAATCTGCTCTATCCATGTTCTACCACTATGTTGTCTCTCTCTTTTCTTTCATACCTACTATTTGTATAAGGTCTGTACGTTCAAATTATCTATCTTACGACATTTTTTGTTGATCGGAATGCTTACTACCTGGCCCTGTACTACGTAATGCATGCAGAAAATATCCAGATTGATTTGAATTGTATACTTTTAAATTAAACCAAATATAATGCATGTGACAAACCAGTTTCAGTATTCATTTTTCACTTTCCCCGAGGCACGTGCTCTAAAAGATTATTTTTTTGATATTCTTACGGTGAGAGAGACATAGGTCAAACTCTCAAAGAATTTGTTGAGGAAGATGATTCCTCTACATAGTCTATATATGTGAACTATGAACCCTTTGGTTCTTTACACCAGCATGAGTATATGATGCAGAGAATAAAGTGCTTTCCATTTGACCTGTTGGTCAGTAGCGTACACGTTGCACTAGAAAATCATAATTTAGAAAAGGTTCATTCTTAGGATCTGTTGGTTAGGACATCACTTATTGCTATATATGGATTAAATGCCCAAAAATCCAATTCTTATGGTAAAATATAGTAGAAAGACTAGCCCGTGCATCGCACGGGTTTGACGACTAGTAGTGTTAACCACTGTATGCAGTAACTGAATTTCAAATCCACAGCACAGCAATGGCAATCAGCAATCAGCAATCGGCAATCGTAAACAGGCCGTGACGGAGCTCACCTCGAGCGCTTCGACAGTGAGGAGCAGGACAATGATCTTCTCGGAGAACCTCTGGCGCTCCTCGTGGTCGTGCGAGAGGCGGCGCCTGTAGGAGAGGTTGTAGAAGAGGGACCGGAGCTCCTTGAGCTTGGCCTTGGCGATGGCGAGATCGCACAGGCAGCTGAGCACCTGGGAGCGGTGGGCGAGGTGCGCCCTGTAGTTCATCTGGATGAGCAGCGCGGCATCCTGCGGCGACATCTCCTTGGCCTTCCCCTTGCCGTTCCCCATGGAAAAGGCCTGCATCATCAGAAAGAGAGACAAATGTCAGGCGGTCAGTACACATATGACAGTAGTGCATTGCAAGGGAGCAGAATCCTCAAGCTGATATCATTCAGAGTAGAGTTCAGTCAATCTGTAGCCAGTACTAAGCACAGATCTAGAGTGTGGACACTAGCATCCTCTAAAATTCCAAATTTTCTCTCAAATCCAGCGAGAGGTAACTTGGTTCTATTGGAAATTCTACTAGAAATCACACATTTCGTTCAGATCGGGCCACAGAACCCAAAACCCCGCAAAAATCTCATCTTTTGTGCTGAGTACCGTACCTTGCGGATGGCGTCGCAGCCGGCGGTGTTGTCCTTGGGGATCTCCTCAATCTGGACGCACGTCCTCGCCAGCTTCTTCTTCTTCTTGTCAACCTCCTTGTCCTTGGCGGCGGCCTTGATCTTCTTGGGCTTCTCCGGCCTACGCTCCTCGACCTCCAGCTCATCCTCGTCGTCGTCGGAGGCGGTGAAGTCCTCCTCCCAGGTGTAGGCATGCGACCATGGCTCGAGTGAGCCTTTGCCCTTGATCTCGGTGCCCCACCTGGTCTTGGTCTTGCCTCCGGCGCCGCCCTTGGACTTGGCCTCCCACCTCCACTTGCGGTCGAATCTGTCGTCGTTGGGGGAGGCGAGCTCCGCCTCCCACTTGAGTTCCCGGCCCCCGCCGCGCGGCTTCTCCACCGCCGTCCACTTGACCTTCTGGCCGCCGGGCTCCGTGGCCGCGTAGGTGTACTTGCGGCGCGCCGGTTGCGGGGCGGCCGCGCGGGCCGCGAGCTCGAGCGCGGCGACGCAGTCGGTGAGGTCGTGCAGGAGGAAGGCGTGTGGGGAGGGGATGGGGGGCGGGGCGAAGAAGGGGTCGGCAGGGAGGTAGAGGTCGAGGAGGTCGGGGTGGTGGGGGAAGGCGAAGCGGGATGGGGATGGGGGTGGGAGGAAGGGGCGCAGGAGGCGGAGAGGGAGGAGGTAGGTGGTGGTGTGTGGATGAGATGCGAACGTCTTTTTTTTACCTGGATGGGTGGGGAGAGAGGGAGGGGATAACCCCACAGTTTTTTTACCTGGAAAAAAATAACCCCATCTCTTTGCCATCTGCCAGCAGATGGCAAAGAATCTTTGCCGTCTGGTGGCAGATGGCAAAGAGGTGGGGCTGGTACGCCATTACATGCTTGACGGCCATAGGATTTGCCAACCTCTTTGCCATCTGCTGGCAGATGGCAAAGATTATTTGCCATCCACTAGCAGATGGCAAAGAATTGGCTGATGGCAACCATGTTCTTTGCCGTCTGTCAGTTCTTTGCCATCTGTTTTTTATAAGCAGATGGAAAAGACGTTCTTTGCCATCAGCTGGCAGATGGCAAAGAGCTGGCTGATGGCAAATTCCCTGTTTCCAGTAGTGAATCCATTAATCCTATAAGTCTATGGATTTGTAACACGTCATCCTGATAGATGGATGAGAAGGCCTAATTCTTAATCCCCATAGAAGAGAATAGGATGACTCAGATCAGAAAGGCATAGGGTAAAGGAGTAAAAAGAGCCTTACGTTCCCTTCCACAATCAATTCCCTTACATAACTAAAGCATTTCTAGACTCAGCTTCGACCAGTTTGGCTTGGTAATCCTACAGGCAGTCAGGCTCTGATACCAAAGCTATCAGGACCATGATTCCAAGTCACATCGATCTAGCCGGTAACACCTCATATCACTTTGCGGCCTCACGCACGGTATTCCCACGGGTGTCGCCTTACCATGGCCCGGGACCGTTTGCACCTTTTGGCTCACGTATATGATAGTGTCGCCAGCATCCATATGACAGAGAACCCGGGCCAACATGGCTAGTCATGAACCCAAAGTGGCACTAACCTATGGGGACAGGCATACATGAATCACATCGAGCATGTCAGTCAGCAGCATGTGAATCCGGGCTGTAGCACTGGGCTAACAGGACTCTGGGAACCCGGGCTGTAGTAGGCTAGGAAGGACTCCGGATGTCACCGCATGACATTTCCCCGAAGGGACAAACATAGGAACGAAATGAATCACATGCCGGCCAGTCAGGTGTTCCGGAGCAGTAGTGCTGGGCTAGCAGGACTCTAGTGAATCGGGCTGTAGTGGACTACTATGGCTCATGGAAGCACAAGACTACATTTCCCCATAAGAGAGGCTACCAAGGATACACAACTAGGTTGTCGGATCCCACACATACCAAGCATTTCAATCATACACACAATATGCTCGATATGTGTAAATACAACATGGCATCACAACATAACTCTACGACTCAAGGTATTTATTCATTAGGCTCCAAGGAGCGAGATATTACAAACATGGGTCTCATGACCCAACATTCAGAGCATACAAGTCAAGCACATGCGGAAGCTTAACATGTCTGAGTATAGACATCTACAAATGAAAAAGGCTGAGAAGCCTGACTATCTACAAGACCCTGCCAAGAGCACAAGATTGTAGCTGAGGTATCAAGCTAAACGTCAAAGTCCACGCGGAACTACTAGCGAGACTGAAGTCTCTCTGCAAAACATAAATTAAGCAAACGTGAGTACAAAAGTACTCAGCAAGACTTACATCAGAACTAGCTACATATGCATCGGTATCAATGGGGTGGTGGAGTTTAACTGCAGCAAGCAACTCTTTTGAGGTGGCGCACACGAGTCCACATATTCACCATTCAATACACCACTATGGATCCGCTCCCGTCTCCCTACGAGAAGGCCATCGATAGCACTCACACTTATCTTGCGAGTTTTAGAGTATCCACTTTCACTTGTCTATGAACTGTTATAGGCAACCCAGAAGTCCTTTACCGCGGACACGGCTATTCAAATAGATCATTTATAACCCTGCAGGGGTGTACTTCTTCACACACGCTCTCGCCACTTACCAGCATGTACACGTCGTGTATCTCGGCCACCTTCAAGCAGAAGCCTGGCGAGGGAGTCGGCCATGACCTGACTAACCACACAAGTCTCAAGTCCAGGTTTATCGCCTATTCGGGTTCCATCCGTGAGGAGATCCAGCTGGAGTTTCGCTCACAGCCCCAAACGATGTGTGCATGGTTCCCGAGACACCAAACGGGCGCCCGGTACACCGTGCCATGGTGTATCTACCGCATCATAGCCCACCCCTAGGGACAGCGCTACGCACGGCCGCCAACACATATCCTACAAACACCAGAAACTAGTTGCAACTCCTAGACAGAGGGCAAGGGCAGTTAATAAGTCGAGAGGGTCCATTGTTTTTGGGCCCAATGCATGGTAGTAGCTGTTCATGGATCACAAACACAAAACTCAGTTCCTGAGAATGGTTTCAATGAGACAACCCACCATGTAGTCCTACATGGCCTCTCACTGCTACCTTTACCAAATCATGTTCACACACTTAGCTCACACACAGTAGGACATGTTCATCACTATTCCAATTCATCCCCAATGAATCAGACCTAACTCAACTCTAAGCAGTAGCGGGCATGACAAATAAGCATGAATGAGTAGGCACATCAGGGCTCAAACAACTCCTACTCATGCTAGTGAGTTTCATCTATTTACTGTGGCAATGACAGGTCATGCAGAGGAAAAGGGGTTCAGCTACCACAACATATAATAGTTGAATCGATGTTGTTCTAATGCAGTAAAAGAGAGCAGGAGCGAGAGAGTGGGATTGTATCAGAATGAACAAGGGGTTTTGCTTGCCTGGCACTTCTGAAGATAATATAGTTCTTCATCGGTGTCATCGATCACGTCGTCAGAAACTTCATCGACTCAAAGGGGACGGTTACCGGCAAATAGAGAAGGACACAATCAATGCAATGCAACAATATGATGCATGAATGTGACATGGCAATATGCTGTTGATTGGCCTAATGCAACTAGCAACAAGTAAAATGGAGTTGGTTTGAACACTAGGTTCAAATTCAAACTCCATATGTGCTTTCTTAAATGCCATTTAATTGAATTGTCCTAAACAGAGGGTATAAGTTGCTCTAACATGCATGAAAATGCCATAAACATATTCTTTGGATTTTTCTGATCATTTTTCATATATAATTCATTTCATTTGGAGCTACGGTTGATTTACTATGAATTTTAGAAGTTTTAACTATCTTCTGGAATTTTCTGAATTATTTAAAAATCCAGAAAATCACTTACTGTGTCAGCATGACATAGGGATGACGTCAGCAGGTCAACTGGGTCGGCCAGGTCAAACCTGACCTGTGGGACCCATACGTCAGTGTCTCAGGCTGGTTTGAGTGGATGATAGGTGGGACCGGTCAACGGCTACGTCAGCGAGGTCAACGCCGACGCGTGGGGCCACTATGTTTAGATTAATCTTAATCTATTATTGTTAGCTGGTTAGTTAGGCAATGGGGCCCGCTGTCTATATCACTGGAGGGTTTAATTAGTGGATCATTAGCCACTAATGATGCCCACGTCACCTAAACGGCGATTAGCCGCCGGTGCTAAGCAGGACGCGGCGGCGCTCCTCGTCCGGGTGACTCCGGCGATGAGAGCGTGCACGGATAGGCTCGTTGGAGAGCCCTTGCCGGCGCGCGTCGAATGGTGGTGGTGGCCGGGCCTGTGGTGGCCGGAGTCATCGTCGGCGATGACTTTGGCGGCAGCCGGAGCTCGGGTGAGCTCGGGCCGAGGCTACGGCGAGCGAGGCGGCGCGTGCAAGGCATCAACAGGCTCTACGCAGAGCAGGGATCAAGCGGGGCTTGACGGCCGGGCCGTTGAGTGGCCGAGGGCACGTCAGCGGCGAGCATAGGCGGCAGCGCATGCGGGTGGACGCGGTGCGGCAGCTACGGCATGCGAGAGAGGGAGCGGAGAGGGGAAGCTGGGTCAGGAGCTCATGGCGGTTGCGACAAGGCAAACGGCGAGCTCAGGGAGGTTCTGGAGCGAGCTGGGCGGCGAGAGGGATCTCCGGCGGCCGGCGACGAAGATGACGAAGATGGCGTCGATGCAGG